ATTCGTCCATACGTCTTCACAGAAGATCAGTAAACTCTCACTACATAATTCGACGATTCCGATGACAAATCGAATATAACTAACCAGTTGGTAATTTCGAGGACAAATCGAATAGAACCACTAACTGGAAATCCCGACGCCATTCAGCGACAAAGCAGCTCTCGTACTTAATGCATTAGCTGAACGAATCAAGCATTGTCCTATCGTCATTTTGATTATGTCCCAACTCGTCGCATTAATCTATTTCTCGAAATATCGTTACCATTATCGTATTAATGTGAAAGAACCATTATTATGATTAATCATGATATTATGACAATAATGGAATTATCTTAATCGCTAATCGAATCGCATTACGAATATTGTATCGAATCGCAACTCGCAGAATTATTTTACTGCTTTTAATAACACGAACGACTTTTCTACTTCAACAACGGCTCAATGACAATTATTATTCATTATCATTTCCGTGGCTATATGATTATCGCATTGGAGATTTCTTCGATGTACTCATCAGCTGCTCGTACCTCGGAAATCTTGCAGCCTGCTGAGTAAATTGGTGGTATGATCTTACGCACATGCACACGAAACAGCAGTTCAAGCAGTCGAGCGGACCTCCTGCACGCTGATATTCGCATGTTTTCGACTACCCCAACGCTGGCAACGGTTTGCAACGCTATCATAGACATAAGTTTGGAGTCATATACTCAATCGTAGAAACTTATGTTCTCGATATGCATCTAATGTTTATGCATCGCATTGGTACGCAGCTTTATTCTCCAAATTTTCTACACGATAATCTTGACCGCAATTTCTTCACCTGTCTGCAGCCACTCGATTTATCGATGAGCCTTACCGTAATGTCTATGCGAATATCGAATTCCGTCTTAACTGTCATGCCTAAACGATTTTCAATATTTTGCAGCATTTGTATTACATTTTCGTATCGTACAACTGCTCCTAATGTATTCTATTCGAAATCAATTTTATTTTGCTTATAACCGCTTACCATATTTTTTTTGATATTCTGTTACTATGCGAACTTACGAACGTACCCGGACACGGTAACTTTAATTTTCATAACTTTTGATGTTTTCCGACGATTTTGATTTCTTTTCTCGCAAACAAAGACATTTTCGTAACCTTGTTTGCTGGAAGGGGGCTATTGTAGTGCCTCCACATATATTTCAGTTCTCTCACATCTAACTTGGTTAAGCCCTTTCGATTACATATATTTCAGTTCTCTCACATCTAACTTGGTTAAGCCCTTTCGATTAATTTATTTAACCAAGCCATTTGTAAAACAATAACTTATATGTACCATTGGCTTTTATTATTGTGTGGTTTGTATGCGCTGGTATGATTGAACATTGTTTACACTTGCGCGCATATTCATACTTTTCGCTTTAATGTTAATCTCTTAATATCCTCATGAACTCACATGATTTGTATCGCTTGCTTTTGACCTTGTCAATCATTCGTCGCTTTTATTCATGTGTGTGCATACCTATTTCGCTTGTCATATGTCTGTCTTATTCTTATCTGACTATATATTCTTAGTCATGTTCTATCTCTTTGAGTTGGCTCAACAGCCTTCTCCTATTCGCTTCACTCATTCGCTCGCATTGTAATCCAAAGAGTTGGCTCTTAGCCTTCTCCAATTCGCTTCTCCGCTTCGCAATGTGGTGTGCCTCGAATAAACATATTCATCAATACGAGTTCATCTTCTGATTTATAAACCGAGCACAAGAACACGCAATTATAGGCACACTGCAAGCTATGAAAATTGTCGCCACCCTTTGGTAGGGTAAGGAATGTCTAATAAATTAGATCGTGATTATTTCATGTGTTTTAAAAGCGCTTCTTATAAACAGACTGATATAACAAATAATCCGTAACAAGAAATATAAACTAGTTTCATTCTACAAAAAAATTACTTTCTTTTGGTCTTATTATATCATGTACAAGCACATTGTAAACGATTTCTAATATTAAAGGAATATTTGAATGTAGGATTTTAACTTGGCTATTACAGTGATGCATATCAATATTTTTCAGAATTTATAATATAATTCGTTAACAGTCAGTCCACCGATTTCGTGTGTTGATTCTGGCAGAATTTCAGTTACACTAGCTTTTTTACAGTTGCTATTTATGTCATTTCATATTTTATGCTTCTCATTATCTTCTACGTCTGTGTGAATTCAAAACAATCCAACACAAGACGAACAGTCCTACATTAAACAGAACGTCGACAACACGCAGGAAAGAATTTTAATTCATAGCACGCAGTATGAACTTGTACTGCATTTGTATGCAACATAAAACATCGGATTGTACAGTGAACATACTTACTATTCACCACATTCTAAGTAATCAGAACAGTGAATGATATTTACCCCTTTATTGCAGTTTCCGTATTTTCTATGGTATTGAGAAGACTGAGGCAGGCGCGGATGATTGTATTATGCAAATCAACACTCTGAGTCAATAAAAAACGAAAACAAAACATTGAACTCTCTATTTGCACACCATCTTTGAGTCGTGACTTCCAACGCTCCATCCTTCTTCCATTCCTGTTGTTGCTTCCTTTCCTTCCTGATGGTACTCCATTTACTTCTTGCTTTTGCTCCATTTGCTTTTCGTTTTCCTCCTCTGACCGTGAGACTTCTTTCACGTTCCTTCTTATACTACTTATATCGTTCGTATAAGTAGCACACACCACAGTATAAATAAAATACTTGGCTGAAATACATACATACTCGGTCATACCAGGACTATATATTTATTGAAATAGCTCAAGAAAATAAATTATTCAACGCCAGTGAGACTGTTTTCCAGAAAGTTGGTAAACTAGTGACTTTTAAGTCATCAAAACCATGGAAATTACGTATCCGATCACAACTAAATTATTCTCATGAAATTCAACAAATCAAACTATGCAAAAAATCTCGTGACCCATTAAGTTATTCCTTTATTTGAGAAAAGTGCTCCCGCACACATTTTATTAGCACCTAAGCCCACCACTGCTTCAATAATATTTATAGTCACACTCTCAAAATTTGTCCTTGAGGGTTCTACAAAATCTACAGTCGGTTAAATATCAGCCTGAGTAGTACATCCGATACACCAGCGAGGAAATTCCAAATCTTCTTGCCAACCGTTTTCGCAATCATTGATCACCAATGACCTGAAAGTAAAACCAAGGCCATTTCGAGAGATATGTTACGTAGTGGCCTTCAAACCATGATGGATAAAAATTAGAGACAGAGATCTAATGGAACAGGCCATTGATGATGGTTGTTGAACTCTTGAAGTTCAGGCTGTCACAGAGCGATTGGTGCTTCACTTAGACAACTCGTAGGCCCTTCAAGAAGCAGTTAGGCCAAGACATTTTATAACTTGATTTTCGTTCAGCCCCGCTTTACACAATAACTTCCATCCTTCAAGTAACGAAAAATGAACGAGTATAGCGACAAGTGATGCATTACTCTGGGTTAGGGCGGATTTTGTTATGAAAAATATGTCACAAACATTCGTTGATATTATGATTTGGCGATGATTTACCAGTTGAAATAATTTTGAAGCCTGCCTGTTTGAAGTGCATAAGATAATACGACCTCTTTTATTAATTCTTCATGTTTTTTTAGCACAGTAACTAAGCTATATCAACATGTAAAAAGAATGAGTTTTACCATACTCTGAAATCCTTTTCTTCAGATGTGTTTGTGCATGTGGACCTAAACTCAGTTAATTCGGATCAAATACTTGCCTTCTGGGTGTAGACAATGGCAATGTTAAGAAGCGAAACCAGTACATTGCTACAAACATGAGTAATGGATGTGATTGACTTTGAACCGCAACATCAATATCATTGATTAGTTATACCCTACTATATCCTGCGGAGCCGTAAGCTTACAAAACGTTCTACCCCCAGCCGTACGGTACAAATTTCGCGATCAATAACTCTGTAGGGTCCCTCGTATGCAGCTCCGAGTGGCCGATGTTTCCAAGTACCACTAGTGAGATAATGTAAGTGCACTAAAAAAGGTTTACTATAATCGTTAGCTTGCGCGTAGTAGACGGTCGTGCAAAATCGCGCGGTTCCTGGAAATGTAGGAAAAGGTCCAGATTCAAATTGCCTTCCACGGTCAGTTGTAATAATTGAAGGGCAACCGAAGTTCGTTACCCATGAGGCAGTGATTCAGCAGTAATATCCTGGATAGAAACTGCTTCTGACCATCCTTTAGAACGCCCAAACAATAAGTTTAGAATGTTTGTGATTGACGATGGTAATATTTTATATACTAAATATCTTGGGATTGATAAGGCTGTCTTGAAACGTATTGATAGAAGAATAACTATAAACGTATTCGAACTGAAGGATAAACCCCACTCATCTCGCTTAGAAGCTACAAACTCAGAGGCTGTGGAAGAGAAAGAAACTAGAATAATGTAATTTTGATGTCCATAATTGGTCACAACCCCTCCCACCTTAATTCATAATAAATCGATTTTGTTATCAACGTACATCTATTAGGTATACAATGCTAACAACTTCACACGAAATTGTAGGACTAAAATCAGCAAACTGTTTGCTTCGTTTGTATAAAGTGGTATGATTGATACTTTCTAAGGAATCTTTCATCAGAAGGTTTAACATTTGATTTCTGTGTCCACTCCATCTTAGTCTAGGACCGCAGTCACTGCTGCCATTGATAGCTGTTTTGTTTTATCTCAGAAAATGGAGGAAATAATGTACATCTAACTAGAATGGGCTTCAATTACTCCAAACATTATCGCATTTAATACATATTTCTCTGACCCTTTCATAGTTTATTAGTTGAATACCTACAAAGCTACTTATCGTGGAAATTTTAGGCTAGAAGCTTTCCAGTCCTGCAAAAGAGCCATACAGTTGCTTAATCTCGTAACTCAGGGCAAAACAAACCGGACTTCGAAGCATGGTATTTTGGTTTTAATTACCCAAATGTTAACACTGTTTCCACTGTAAGGTCAAATGATTTCCACTCTCATATTGCAAAGTTTGAAGGCCATCACTCAAACGGCTGATATCGCGCACCATGTCTCTTCGACGTGTCTCGGTGATCGGGTCAGGTAATTGGGGATCAACAATTGCAAAAATAGTCGGTAACAACATAAAAAATTTCCCCGAATATGTGTCAGAGGTAATATCCGTACATTTTGTTGATGTATGTTCAGGTTCGCATGTGGGTTTTTGAGGAATTAATCAATGGCCGCAAACTCACCGAAATAATCAATACGACTCATGAAAATGTAAAGTATCTGCCCAAGGTTAAGCTGCCGGAAAATGTTATCGCTGATCCAGATGTAAAATCAGTGGCTAAAGATGCTGATGTTCTTGTTATTGTCATGCCCCATCAATTCCTTAATAGAACGTTGGCCGATATGAAAGGTGTTGTTAAGCCAACATCTTTCGCTATTTCGTTAATGAAGGTAATTTAAATATTTACATGTATTGCACCTCAATTTAAATGATATAATGTAACGTTTACTTCCGCCTTGTATTGATGACTGAAGTTAGCATAATAATTTAGCGTTAATTGCTCATCATCAGGAGAAACTGACTTAGTATTCGTTTTCGGGATGGGTTAATCCCAGGTTTTAGTCCTTGGAGATTTATTACAGATATTCTGATTTGCTTGGTGAGATTGATCTTATCACTTTGAGCTGAATTATTGAAGTTTGATCGTAAAGGCTCTGTGCTAATGTGGTATGGCAACATGAACTTATGTACATACGTACGAAGTTCTACGTTGCAACTGACTGACTGTAAAGGCTCTCCCTACACCGTATAATTGATCAATATATGGTCGCTAATCCATTTGTATATCGTGTCTCGAAATGATTTCCGAACACCGGTAAAAGTGCATTTTTGATTTTTTTTTTTTGAAGCGTGTGTGCTAATTATGGACTTTGGTTCAACCTTTTTTACCACAACCATCCCAAGTTTGCTCGTGCTTGATTGTATTGTCTAAGTCTACTCAGCAGTAACGATGGTAAACTCAATTTAGTGTTTTACCAGTCAGTGTGGTTTTACTAAGCTGAGTTCGAATACTAAAACTAAATGTATCCGGAATCCCGCTTCTTCCAGCCAGTCTACAGTAAAAACAAATGCTAAGTCGTTTGCATGTGTCAATTCTTGTAAGTTATATTCCCGTGAATATCCGACCTCTTGAAAGTGGGGGTATGGTAGGTAGAATTTGTTCAGAAATGATATCCCGGTCGTTGAACACCATATAGAAAGTGTGATTCTCCCCTGTATAATGAAGTGGCGGTTATCGACCGCTCTTTGCGATTGCCCCGGAGGAAAAGTAAGAAGTTATAACATGAGCTCTTTCAAAATCATCATGCGTTTAGCAATAAGGTGGACATTTAAGCTTTCGAATCACTTGTCCTTGGGGGAATCAGAAAGACCCGTTACTAGAGTAGAACACGCTTGAGTATTTTACCATCTCTAATGAGACATCAACTAATTAATTGGATGCAATATTCTTCTTTAGGCTTTATGTAGCTATTTAATCCAAGACATCTTTGTCAAGAAACTCCATTGCGATCAGAATATTCTAAATCTTTGACAGCTGCTTCGTTGCAACTCATGATTATTTTATGGTCATGACTAACTACTACTTCTAAGCTGTTATATCCCTATACGTATAGCAGTGCTCTATTGTATGGCACTGATCAGTGTCTTATCTAATATGCATCAGTTCATTCTTGCTGGAACTAGTCCCGAAACATGTATCTTATTCGTCTAAAATAGTTCAGAGCCCAACATGATCAGCCTCACTACTTGTTGTTCCCTAAACTTTGACATCATTTACAAACGAGTGTCGATGACTTTTATATTCTCCGTAAGTCTCCATCTCATTGCGTTCCTCCCTACCTACATCAATTTAATGGATTCAAATCCACTAGTTTTGAAGCCGAATATTATGGGTGTAGTTGTTTTACACTCCCTTGGCTCTTTGAAAGTTATTAGTAGGCGTACTAACTGTCGAATTTCTTATAATTGACATGTGATATCCACTATCTGACTTGCTATATCCCATGTTTTTGATGTTGTAGGATCCCTAATGAGTAATTCATAGGATCTTACTTAACTAAGTGAATATAGGTTCAATGTCCCGTTGCTGCTTAAGAGCTAAATTTTGTTTATTTAAGTGTTTTTAATATAGTAATCATTTATACCCCTTCTGTAATCCAATGACATTTTGTGATACTGAAGACTGGATCTTTCCATGTGATAATTGTTTTCTCAGGGATTGGCACTTAGTGATGACCATGGTATCAGACTGCTCACAGATTGTATCAGAGATACATTAAATATACCTTGTGCAGCTCTTATGGGTGCTAACCTGGCAACTGAAGTTTCTCAAGAAAACTACTGTGAAGCAACTATTGGTAGCGATAATCCAAAAATGGGATCTGAATTAAAGAAGCTTTTCCAGGTATGTAATCCTTATGGTTTTTGACAAGTCTCAAGAATCCACATACTTTTTCGCCGTTTTGATAATTTGGATCTATAATGTCTAAAACTGGTACATTCAGAAAGATTATCTCGTTTGAAATATTGTTCTTCTAGACAATAATGAGTTTCCTGATGTATATTAGGTGATTAGTGGTTTCTGTACACAGGATTCTGCTCTACTCCAAATGATCAAACCTAGCTTTGGTTACCTTGACTGTTCATTGTGCCATATTTAGTTTGGTTTTAAAATATTTTTCCATGTTCTTGTGATTCTATTCATGGGACGTAATTCCGATATATAGAGCCTCACTTTGGAAGTATTTTATTTGTTTTTCTGTCAATACAATATTTTTTTAACGCTGTTTATGAATAGTTTTGTATTCTAAGCAATAAACTTGAGGAAAGTTAACAAAATTATTAGCTTGTCTGAATATAAATTAGATACTAATCATTTCAGCACTATAAGCGAACGCTCAAATGACTCGTTATCATGCCTCCAAGCTAATGTACTTTGGTACTTTGAAGATAATTTTATTGTTTTTCAGACAGACTACTTCCGGATTGTGGTCATTAAGGATGAAGTTGGTACGGAGTTATGCGGAGCCTTAAAAAATATTGTAGCAGTGGCTGCAGGTGTGATTGAAGGCTTAGGCTATGGAGATAACACTAAAGCTGCAGTTATACGTCTTGGGTTCATGGAAATGAAAAACTTCATTTATCAATTTTTTGCGGACCGCCGTAAGTGTTTAGCAAATTTTTCTTCTGGATTCGTATCGTTCCCAAGTTTAATTTCCGACACTATCAGTTCATAAATTTAGAAGTAAATTACTGTAAACAGTACTAAATATGTTGTCTGTGCGCAAATTTTCAATTTTGTCTGAATTTCTGTCTGATCTTTTGTAATATATGACATGCAAATGTAAATGGTCTTAATTGGCTAGTGATTACCTACACCACCTCTTGAGTGCATGTGACATTATTACTTGGTTGCTGCATCATTTACTTATACGGTTTTTAATGCTTTTGACTGAGTACATAAACATGTACTTAGTTAAATACTCACTCTATAATCTAGTTACTGAGTTTAATATTATTACCTTATCTTAGCAGGTAAACCCCAAACTTAAAATGATAAGGTTGTGTTATTATCCCCTTATGAGTACAAATTTAAGAAACTTCAGGCCCTCATAAATCAATATTATGTAATAAAAAAGTGGTAACCTAGCAGGACATTCGTAACTGTGATCGCATGTCATATGACGTATCTTGTTCATGTACGCAACCACAAAACATTCTCTTACCTTCATTAATGTAACTTCGTTCTGTTCAATTTCCTTTATATACGCATAATTTGGATCGACGCAAATCAATGTTATACTAAGCTGGCAATAAAATTTAGCCAAAATAAATATTTTCCCCCCGAAATATTAACTGAAAAATCAAGTTAGCGGTAGCACAGTATTCAGAAGCCACTCAAATCAAGACATTCATGTTCCCAAAGAGCACTGCTTTTCAGTGGTTCTCCAGATAATCTCATTGCGAAATAAGTGTGTGACAAACAGTCCCAGAAAATACCGTGCTCAACAAATCGAAGGCGATCCTGGTGTTAAGAAAGGAACAGTTTGGGCGGTGCTTTGAAAATTACTCAGAAGCCTGGAAAAACCCGGTTCTTCTAATAGTGATTATTCGCAAAACCATGAAAAATGTGACTTGGCATCCCCTTGGTGTCCTGCAAATGCATCAAACACTAATCTACTATTTGAGATACAGTGAGTCCAACTCGGCCTCATATTTGCTGGCAACGGGAAGCTACAGTCAATTAGGTCATATCAAGCTGGCCACCAAAACGTATTACTAGCTTGACGAGAAAGAAACCATGATAAGATACCAGATGATCACTCTAAAAGGAACAGTTTTTCCCCACTTTGAATAAGCTCTCTAAACTAACAGAACATAAGCGACTTTTAGTAGGGATCCGGACGTTCAGTGCCGACTATACTTTGAGGCTTAATACATCAACAACGTCAGCGAAACAGGACGAATATTCACAAATTCCACGAACAAACAAATGTAAAACAATCTTTTCCAATCGATAGCACGTTATCCTAGTGATGAATGTCGGTTTCAGATATTTCATAAATGTTGGTAACAAACAAAACCTATCTGTATGTGGACGTTAAAGTGGGTCAGTTTGGATGACATATGGTTTCAAGAAAGTTGTTTCAGTACCCATGTTCGGTGCTAGTATTCAAACTTTCAACTACACAGCAGCTCAAGATTGTTTAGTCAATTCAGGGCTTCTACCTCATTCCAGAAGTTGGGTGAGTTAAAAATATTGAGAAATGCACAAAATGAGAATAGTAATGGATAAGTAACACTAAGTGAAAACGAACGTGATAAAACAACTGAAGATCGTTCATACGAGTAGCAAAGTGGCGCGGAAGTATCTTTTCAGCAGTAATTATTTTCATGTTTGCTTGTGGGATTGGGATATTACCTGGAAATCTAGACCGAAGCTGGTGGTTTTCATACAAAGCCACTTATAGAGCTTTCAAACAAAAAGTTCTATCTGTGAGGTGGTGGAAAAGCGTCCTTGGCAGTAGCACGTGACGATATGAAAACGCTTCCAACAGGGAAATAGACTCTGCTTACCATCGGTCGTATCACAGCATTTGGGGAATAAGAATTACTCATGTGTACTGACATACACTGTCATCAAAAGTAGTTGTTCGCTCATGTGCGGTGAGTTTCCAATCACCGTCTCTAAAGGTTAGTGTCTGGATGTCTCATTTATGTTTCACATTTTATTTGTACAAATAGTATACAAAATATCAATATGTGTTCACATCATATACATTCTTTGAACTATCTGCTCCATGTTTTATTTAACAGATCCCCAAGAAGGAACATTTTTGGAAAGCTGTGGCGTCGCTGACCTCATTACAACCTGCTACGGTGGTAGAAATAAACAAATGGGGATAGCATTAGCTACTACAAATGAACCTTTAGCTAAATTAGAAAAAGAACGTTTAAATGGTCAGAGTGCTCAAGGCCCCCTTACTGCTGCAGAAGTTTATGCAATGCTAGAACCCAAGGGCCTTCTTGAGAAATATCCTATTTTTGCAGCTGTACATAAAGTGTGTACACGTCAACTCGATCCAAAGAACTTTATTTGCTGCTTAGCCAATCATCCAGAGCATCGTTAAATATGTTTGTATGGAGTGAGGAATGTTGACCTAGTCTTCCAACTCTTCATCTATTTATGTACTAGCTGAAACACGATTAGTAGGCTGTTTCAGCAACCATATTGATTGATGACACTCTAGCGAACTTATTGTTTCTCCTTAGATTTGTTATATCTCTTTTGTTTTGCTAACTGTAGAAATTAAAACCAAGATCCACTTGAAGTGTTGATTATACCATCTATTTGTTTTATCATCATTTTTTCATAATTTTTTGTCTGTATATTATTGGCTATAATGACAAGTAATAAAAAATGTAGAACATACATCAGTTTGTCTTTATTATTTTGTGACCTATCGTAGTTACGGTCTGATTCTGATACTGGTTTCTATCTTCCAGACAAACTGTTAATCATTCCAAAACTGAGAATTAACACTCAAGAACAATTTTTAATCGTAACCCAGCTACTTCACATTTCAGTAACTTGGACTTTATATCTTGTTTGTCTGTTGTTGTCTAACGACCCCCTAATTTTCGGTTTTGCCCAGCAGTGAAGTTGGGGATACTCGTCCTGTCTTTTTAGCATTCATCTGCTCAATGTGCTTGTGTACTGGTGTTGATGCTCATTCAGAGACTTTAATTTAACACTTATCTCCAAAAATCACTACTTTATCCATTAAACTATCGAGTCCAGATAGGTACAATATTTATTGCTAATTTCGGTTTATTGATATTCAGGATGCCACGAAAGGTTCTGTGGATAGTTTTTACAACTGTTGTAAAAGACTACAGAACAATTTTCAAAGAAAATCAGTCTATCTTATTGGATTGTCCATATTGAATTCCTAATGACTAATAGTTGATCATAGCATTCCGAATAGATTTTTAAACTCATAAATATTTTACCGTTATGATGTAGCCCGTGACAATGAGTTTTAGATCATGAATCAAACTATGACACAAAATGATTAAGGTTAGTTCATAATTCCTCGAACTCGCCTGGCGAGACATTTTTCTGTTTTCGCAACAGTAACTAACTTGTTTTATTGAACATTGATGATACCAGATATGTATTAGAGTTGATTCCTTAGATATCTGTTTACTCTTTATAAGTCATTCAAATGCTACTCTGGTGCCAAGACTATGTTTGGCGCGTGAAATGGCTAATCTTTTTCACTTGAATTGACTTATGCGCTACAGATGTGCCGTTATGTGGTGACCAGTTGTAGCCTGAACTGTGTAACTTTAAAATTATATCTACAAAACTCATCTAATGAGACTCATTAAGTGGATGGTGGATTATCATTCTTTTTACACAGTATTCGATCTTTACAGGATTTAAATAAGGCTTCTCAATCATTCGGATTTAGTGATTAACAGTTCGTTTGAGGGGTGTGAATTCGACCAAATACTTCGACTTCAAGAAATTTGTCATTAAACCACTGAGATTTTTCTCAAAGAGCTATCATTTTCATTGATTAGTAAAACTGATCTACCACCATAAAATCAATCTAGTGTAAAATCCCATTATAACCAACCTTACTTACTTACCCCCGTTACCCCCAATGAAGCATAGGCCGCCGACTAGTATTCTCCAACCTACTTTGTCCTGATAACCAATACTAAATGATTTGCTCATAATACTATGAACAGCATTCGATTTTCTTTATATTAAGTTCGGTTTCTGAACTAAACAAGAATACAGACTGGAACTCAAACATGCTGTTGAATTACATTACGACACTGGACAAATATGATTAATAAAAATATGCTTTACGTAATAGTGTGTCAAGAATAAACCAACTTGAACTATTTGCTTACTTTCGTTGGCGAAATTGTGAAACGATTGACAACCGTCTCATCCTTATTTACTACTTCTCTGCTTGATTAACTTTGCTTTCGAATATGAAATAGTGAAGACTTACTCCTGATGTGTTAGCATTCTAAATTCAAGGATTATCAGTTTTTGCAATATAGGATTATGATTATCTATTTCTGCGTGTGAGGTTTTCTACCGCTTGTATTAAATGTGTCTATTGTTGAGGAGCTTGAAACCGGAGAAAATGGAAGAGCTGTCTGGTACTTACATTTATATCAATTTTCAGACTTAGCGCTCTCGACTGAAACCATTATCAAACTAGTCACTGGCTGGTTGTTTGGTTTATTTAGTGGAGTGAATTGAATTAATAGGTTTCATTTGATTTATCAGTCAGTTACACTGCAGGACATCGCTCGTACATATATCAGTTCAGGTTTCCATACCATATTAGCACAAAGACGCAGATGTCAGTTGCAATCCCATAGTGGTAGGGATAGTCGAAGTATTAGTGGTAATGGAGGAGATAAGATTCGAAAATATTATTCAAGAACAAAACATTGCTCGACGAGGCAGTCGGTGATTAGGCATATGCAACACATGTCCCAACCACCTCAACTGATGAAGTTTCAATATTTCATGTGTTGATCTGCCATCCTTACCTAGCACCCGTTTCCTAATAACAGCGTTGCTCATTTGGTTTTCCCAGGATATACGAGCAATGCTTCGAAGACACCTATGATCGAAAACAAGTAAACTACGAATATCTTCTACTCTCAATGGCAATGTTTCACAGCCATGAAGTAGGACTGAGCGAACTACTGCACAGTACACTCGACCTTTGTTTAGCAAGCGGATATCCCGCCTACGCCATAAGTGACATAAATTGGCAAAATACAATCGAGCCTTCTGTATCCGTGTAGAGATTTCGTCAGTCACCAGGCCATCGGCGCTGGATGAGATTCCCAGATAAGTGAAGTGGTCAGCATGTTCACTATTAGCCCTCACTCGACCAGTAGTATTCCGGTAGAAAGCTTGTGTAAGGTTAGTGCACTTCTCTGGTGCACCTTTCAAAGACAGGGACTGCCACAGAACCTCACTATCGACAGAGTCGAATGACGCTTTAAGGTCGAGAAATACTACTATCGTTGAACGCCGAAATGTGTGTCTGTGTTCTAGGACCTGGTGTAGTGTGAATATCTGGTCTATAGAGCCACATCCAGGTCTGAAACCAGCCTGGTTTTCTCTAGTCTACTCATCACGAGCTCTAGTTAGGCGCCCGAGTATTAATGAGGCCAATATTTTAGATAGTAAATCAGTCCAAATGATGCCTCTGTGACTGTCACAAGACGACTTTTGTCCTTCCTAATAGACTGGAACAATCAGTGATTCAGACCAGTCAGATGGGGTTGCGCCTAGTTCTCAGATTCTACCCAAGATCTCAGTCAATCTAAGTGCTAAATCTAGTCCACCATTCTTAAAAATCTCGGGGGTGTGCCTAACCCATTCCCTTCTTATTCGAAGGCAACATGGCTGTAGATGCTGGTTGTCCGAGAGAAACAATTTACTGTTATCACACTCCTCCACGGTCAGCAGTACTACTTCGCCCTCACACCTTGAGTAGCTGCTTTTAGTCTCATCGTTCTCCAGTCGACCTGCCTGGTATGGTAGGGCCTACAGGAACATGTGTTCCAGCCAATATAGAGTTTGGTCGGGAGTCATCACGATAGGCAAGATCGATCACCACGTCAAGTAACTGACTTTTGTGAGAAAATATCAATAACTCACACTGCCATATAGACATAGATACGATAAACTAAATCTGTAGAAAGAGTACTCTAGATATAAACCCGCTTACATCATTGTAAGTCTAATACATTTCTTCTTGAATATTTATGTATGCTTGTCATTTAGGACGATTATGGAAACCATTACTTTGTTCACATCTTATTAACTAATCTAAATTTGTACACTAGTTTAATTTTTTGAATATCACATGATTTTCTGAACAATAAATGCCAAATAAATAGAAAGTGTCAGTTGGTCTGCTACAAAGAAAATGATTGAATTGTGATGTATGTGAAAAATAGCTGTAATCAACAACGTTTAATGACAGAAGATGAGTTTATCTTAAATTGAATATATAAAGGCTGTAATCCGAACGTTTGTTTTATTTCTCTATGAGTAGTTACTTTGTGTTAATTTTAAGCTTACATTAAATCTAATAAAATATATTCATAGAACAGTGAGCGGACGTAATTGAACTGAAAAATGCTATGTATTCGCGCTATACATTTCGAACAATCTGGTCACACCTGAGTACTTGTCAAGGCGTTTTATATGAAGATGAATAAATGGTCAAATAAATAAAAGTTCAAATAGACATCATAATCAGTTTTTCAGCGTTGTATGTTTTTTTCTATGGCTGCTTTTAGTCGCTGTCTTAAGATTAAACCATTTGATTAACCTTTAAATGGTAAAGTGATATAAACATTTTTCTTTTTTGATAGAACAGTGAGTAGACGTAATTGATCTGATTTCTACATCTATTGATGAACTTTAGCGGATAACCGTTTGAAATCGATGTTTCAGTCATGAATTATGCATCATCTTCAAATATATCCATGGTGCGAATTCTCTGTACCCTATTGAAGAGTAATTTTTTCGAGCCTCGCTCGTGTTGCAGTAGACAAAAACTGCTGAAATTTCAATACTGCCCTGTCCAGGTTAGCTTTCAATATACTGAACGCTTTATAGTTCCATTCTCCCTTCGACTCAACAGTATGTCTAAAAAGGGCAACTGGTTATTACTTGCTGTTTCGTGTCGAAGACTATGGAAATCATTCAGTAACTGAGAGGCATTGAATTCCTTATCGCATATAACCAAGATATCATCCATATATTTCCCGTACAGAGTAACCTTATTGACGGGCTCATTCCGTAAATTTGAACTTTTCAGTACATAAAGAGTTGATCCAATAGGAAAAAGAGGGAAATTACTTAAACTATAGTCAAAAAGAAAGTTAACAGTTTGAATTAGGTGTACATCGGCGGAAAGAGAGTTTACATCAAAAGATCGCATAGTCTTTCCTTTGATATTAATGTCACCAAGAACATGAGTTAGTTCAAATGTATCTTTCAGGGAAAACTAAGACAATTTATTACTGTTTGGGTTGATTAATTTAGCCAACCATTTGGCTAGCTTATGTGTAGGCTAGCCGCACATAGATAATATTGGTCTTAGTATACTGTTCGGTTTATGAATATAGGGTAATCCATATAAATTCGGTAGTTCAGAACCGGTGGGTTTTAAAATGTTAAATTCATACTTGTTGGTAACATTCATTTCGTCAATTCCACAGATGATTTAGTCGCTTTCTTCGCAGTCTAACACATTTCTAACAGAGTTTCGATATTCAACTAATCTCGTCATGTAAACACAACTGATTCATTACTATCGTCTCGAACACTCTAGTCTACTGGCATCAAATAATAACACTTAAATACAG